ATATCAGTAATTATTGTCAAAATATGAAATTTAAAAGTAATGTTCTGAATTTTAAATGTCAAAAATAAAAAACAGAAACATTGAATTAAATGATACAAATCAGAAATTTACCTCCAGATTTAAAGAAACCAGACCTGTTTAAAACTGAAATTCTCTTGCAGAGAACACTTATATATCTCTCCTGAAAACTTTTTCTTTCCCTCCAACTCAGTGCATCAGTTATGATTAATTAGGTTAGGAAACAGTCTACAACATTTATAAAGGCAAAATAGACGCTTACATGCAGCTCACACAGCAGCCCCATGCTGTGTTCTGCCCGGCGGGAAGCTTTCCTCTGTTGTTGAGTTGGGGACCCAGGCTCCTCTCTCGAGTCTCCTCTCAACTTCTAATGATTAGTGCTTGTGTTGAGAATCAGTTTGTCACTCATCGTATCAACTTGGTGGGCACTCAATAAAGGCTTATTTGATGAACGAGTTTGCTGATGCCAACTTTCAATAATTAGGGTTAAGGCCCCTTGGAAACCTGCTCCTTTTAAATAATTTTTCTCTTTTTATTTCTATTCTTTCTCTTCTACTCCATTCTAGGGGTGGATATATAAATTGAAACNCTTTCAAATAGCATAGAAAATTTCAAAATATAACATGTATTATAAATGCTTGAGTATGCATATGTACATAAAATATCTGAAAGTAGACGCAGACTCTTCACAGGAGCTGTATCTGCTGAGGCTAATCACAGGGAGACCTGCATTCACTGTGTAACTAGCTGTACTGTCTGAACTTTATCTTGCACATATTTTGTTTCTTAAAATAAAACGAAGTGTAATTTTAAGGAGAAAAATAATTACACACAAAAGTTGCAGTCAAGTAATCAGACATGGCTGTTTGTATTTTTCCCGACTTAGGGGTCCAGCATTACTGACACCTGCACTGAAATGCTGATGTGTGGCGTCTTACTGAAAATTTCTTCTGGAAATATTCAAGAACGAGTGTTTTTTCTTTTCGATAATCTTCTGGTGTACTGCAAAAGGAAACACAGGTACGTTCATAAATGAATCGTGCTTCAGAAATGGTTTCTCCATTTCACAGTTTCTCCCGTTTCTCTGTGCTTCCCATCTAATTCATCAGTAAACTACTTCATGTATTCTCATCCTGGTCTCTGATTGTTCTCTTGACCTTTCTGTAAAACCTAACTGAAATGTCACTATCATCTGAGGACACTTCCTGCCCAGATCCCTCCGTAGGGCAGGTGTGTTTACTTCTGACTCATACACCTCAGGCCCTGTAGGAGAGGCTGGTGTGTCTTCCCTGTTTCCTAATCCTGCTTCCCAACCATTTCTCCCTCTTCCTTCAAGAATCCCAGCACATGTGAAGCTCATGACCTTAGTCCCTCCTGTCCAGTACCTTTCTCCATTGATCCTTTTTACGGAGCACTTAACATCTTCCTGCCACACATGAATTCAGTGATTGATTTTCTCTCTTGAATCATTTTCTTTGTACCCTACTCTTATCACTATTTTTGGGGTGTGCACAATTCACACAGATGATCTATCCAGAATTTTGGAACTGAAAGCCCACAGTGTCTTCACCTGC